ACCCCACAGCAAATTCATGGGTAAAAAACATTTCTACCTGAACTTCTCCAGCTGATCACCCTCAAGAAGAGGCTGGAGAGACCCTGCAGCCCAGTGTGACACACAAGTATGAAAAAAAAAAAAAACCCAAACCACAAAACCCAACAAACAAAACCCCAACAAATCAGAGTAAAACAGCATTTATAAAACACCAAAACATATTGACGGCCCAAAATAAAAGAGGCAGAACCAAAAGGAATGCAAGGGGAAAAATTATGAGCAACAATCTAGCTCTTGCAGAGGTAAAACTCCTTCGCAGCTTCTCTATCAGCTCCACCAGGTCCTCCCATCCCCTCATCTTTAACTCAGCTTGAGGTGGTGGTGACTTCAGCTTGTGCAAAATGTGCTTTTTTTTCTTCAGCTGAGATCAGATACAAACTGGATGAACAAAGGGAAAATTTGCAAGGAACCTTGTTTCTGTTTCCCTCTCAGGACTGGCTTACATACTGAAGGCCGGAGCTGGGGCTCAAGACTTCCTTGAGCTACAGATTTTAGCTACAGCAGGAAAGCACAGACTGCTGAGAAGGAAGCATGTAGTGCTTAGCACTGCAGAACCTGCTTGTATTTCTAGATTTCTAGCTTTCGTCAGAAAGATGGAAAAGAAAAAAAAAAGCTTGTTTTTCTGCAACTTGTCCATTATGTTCCTGTTGACCCTTGGCAGCCCCTTCCAACGAGCAGCTCCAGTGCCCAACTGCTGCCAAAGCCGTCCCATGCAGCTGGAAGCGTCTCCTTCCAAAGGCCAGGGCTCCTTGCTGCCCACAAGGAGGGAGCAGGAGTGGCTGCACTGAACAAGAAGGCTTTGTTCTCCTCAAAGGCTTATGTCGGAGCTTGGAAACAAGTTGGTTTTGGCCTGAGCACAAGAGAGGCAGGCTGTGAAAACAAATGACCAGGCAGATGACCCCAAAGGGAGGTAAACCACCTACATTCAGCCCCACTCAACCCTCCAAGAATGAGCAGCTCTAATTTCAGTTCACAGGCTGGAAAATGCAAGTGTTAACAGGTATGAGAATTTCAATGAAGATTCAATAACAGGTGGGTTTTTTTAATTAAACCACAAAGAGGTGATGCACAAGTGCTTGGGCAAGAAGGGTAAATCACCTGGAACAGGCAGGTAGCTGAAGAGATTAATGAAATCTATGGGCCCTGCCTCTCCACTCCCCTGCCTGAAAAACCAGTCCTGGTAATTCTTAGTATTGCATATCAATATATCAGAAATAACATGTGTCAGCAATAGCGTGGCCAGCAGGGACAAGGAAGGGATCTGACCCCTGGGCTCGGCACTGGTGAGGCCGCACCTCAATTCCTGTGTTCAGTTTTGGGCCCCTCACTACAAAAAGGCCATTGAATGACTCGAGCGTGGCCAGAGAAGGGCAACGGAGCTGGTGCAGGGTCTGGAGCACAGGTCTGCTGGGGAGCGGCTGAGGGAACTGGGGGGGTTTAGTCTGGAGAAGAGGAGGCTGAGGGGAGACCTCATCACCCTCTACAGCTCCCTGAAATGAGGGTGCAGAGAGCTGGGGATGAGTCTCTTTAACCAAGTAACAAGCAACAGGACAAGAGGGAATGGCCTCAAGTTGCACCAGGGAAGCTTTAGACTGGCTCTTAGGAAGCATTTCTTTCCAGAAGGGGTTGTTGGGCATTGGAATGGGCTGCCCAGGGAGGTGGTGGAGTCCCCATCCCTGGAGGGGTTTAAGAGTCAGGTTGATCCAGCACTGAGGGATCTGGTGGAGCTGGAAACTGCCAGTGCTACGTTAACGGTTGGACTAGATGATCTTCAAGGTCTTTGCCAACCTAGATGATTGTATGCTAATATCAAACACAGAAATTGTCATAGCACAGTTGATTTAACACTGGCCTCCTACCTTGACCACCAGAGTTGCCACCAATGGTGTCATGACCTTGCAAGAGTCAGTCATATGTGATAAAGTCAACTCTAGCTCGTAAAGAACACATACCAGTTCCTGACCAAAAGATCCTTTGTTATGCTTCAAGGCAGGCATCTTATTGTATTCTTTTTAATTAAAAACAGTCTTGTTCCATTAGCACACAAGTGCAATAAGCTTTACACAGAGAGGAGCAAGGAATAAAGGTAGAATTTGAGCAAAATGATTCCCACACAGCAATGTACAGGTCTGTAACCTGTGATACACAGACCAGCACAGAGCTACAAGCCACTGTGGCTCCTTCCCAGGAACAGTGGGGAGGATTACAAACATATGAAAAATGAGAAGTTTTGGTCAGACAGTAAGAGCGCTCATCTTGCGACATACACCCTCTTCCTAGGCAACGGAAATTTCAGAGGGCAAGATCCAGATGCTGCTAAAATCAAGTATTTGTGTAAAACCTTGCTGCTGGCAGGCTGGAGGAAGGAAGCCAGGGCATTGCAACTGTGCTAGTCAAACTGAGGTGCATGAGCCCTTCCTTCTTCCTCCCTTGGGTGACAGGCAAAGAGATCACACTCACACTACACAGCTGCCACCTCTGATTCCCTCCCATCTCCTGCTGGAACTCCAACAGCAGCACGAGACCTGAAGCTATGGGCACACCCCCATCCGCTGGGGAGGATGAACTGCTCTTCAGTCCCTTATCAGCATCTCAACAACCCTACAAGCTCAATATCCAGTGCTGATGGCAAGTGGTCACAGGCAGCAACCATCTTTTTCAGTGCTTTCCCGCTGCAGTCAAGAGGTTCTGCGTGTCTCCTCACACAACCATGGCACGTGTTCGCAGTGGTATAACAAACAAATCGTAACCTTACCTGTGGTACTTATCCAAGGCAACATCAGTTTGTCTCCAGCTGGGTGCAGGACTCCTACAAACACTTGAAAAACAGCACCATAAATTCCCACTTAGCAATTGAAAGTTCCCATTTGTTTAAACAAATCGGATCTAGCCAAAGTAAGTATGCTGTTCATCTCTTTTGCCATTCCCTAAGTGGCCATACAAATCTGAACATACTGAAAGAATAAACAAAGCTTCACAAATTATCTAAACCTTCTGAACAGTTTCAGAATTGTTTAGTCCTCATAGAATTTCTACTTATCTCACCCAAAAGACTAAAAGCACAGCACATAATGCAAGTACTTAAGCACCACTCTAAATTCAAGGGAGGGCAGAGCTGAAGCTGTGCTCCCTGCACAGGAACCATGAAAAAAATTCAGCAGCAGAACAGGTCAGAGACATAACTGTGATAGCTCCTATGCAGAGAGCAGTTACAAAGAGAAATTCCAATGTGGAACACAATGGCTTTATCACATCTCCCAGATTCTTTGTTGACTTTTTAAACAAACACCGTTATGGCCTATCTACAAGGGATTATGCAGAATCTTTGCAAAACATAAGATCTGGGACACAGCAACTGAGACACACACAGCTTCTGTCTTTATCTGACCTCCTGCAAGACTGAAGCACAGATCAGAATGTGCAGGCTGCCTCCACCACTGAAGGACACATACCCTTCAATTTAAGGCCAATGCTATATCCCAGTCTGAAATATTCTCATCCACATTAACTTCAAATTCCTGGAAGCCTACGATATGGTCAGTGTTGAGATGGATTCTCCTTTCCAGGCACCAGAGATATAACTCCACTGACAGGTATTAAAAAGGAATAAATGAAAGGAAAAAAGTTATCAGCAGCCGCTACCTCCCCTCTTCTTGAGTGCCCCAGATTGTATCAAGACTTTCAATTGGACCAGTAAGACATGTAAAATCCTTAACAAAGGAGGCAGAACAAGTTGTAAAATGCAAGACAAATAAATATGTAAGTAAAAGTGGTTTCATCAGTTTATTGCTTTTTGCAACCTGAACTTTGCTGCCGCTTCACGGATGGTCGAGTCTGTGCAGGCGTATTCAATGCAGTATACACTACCACGGAGAACAGTGTTTTATCACAAGCCATAAAAGTGGTGGGAAAACAATCTAATTCTATATCAACATAATTTGAGAATTTGACAGTAAATACAGCATCTTCAAAAAGCTACTGGCATTTAAGAATAATCAGTTGATTAATGTAAGTTACTGAATAAAGCAAACTGGTGAGGGACCAAGTGCTCCGACAAACGTATTTTTGGTGTATTCAGGATGTCTTCCCAACACACACATTCTGAAATCTTCCAAAATTTCACTAATAGCAAATGAAATTAAGGTACTTTGCTTCCAGTTTAAAATCGAGGAGAAAATAATTAGTGCATTTTAATATATTAACTAAAAGATTATCTGTATAAAACTCTTTACACATGAAATATTTTTAAATTAAACAATATAATTATTATACTTACAAGAAAAACAGACTAGAAATTTATTGCTAGTACAAAAATTAATGTGTTTCACAGAGAAGTTAGATTAATATTATTGCTATAAACACAAACAGTGCCAGAGACAAGAACCTGATTTTCAAATTTGCTCACCATCCACAACAGGTTTTAAAGGACATGTAGGTACATAGGACTTAGGAAAGATGAGCTCTACAACTTTCTTCAGAGTTATGTTTTATGATCTGATGTCATTTTATTGCCTTTTAGTATAACGGCAAGAATCAGAATCAGTCCGATGCTCCTGCGTTCTAACATTATCATTCATTAGATCTTCTCTCCATTAAAAAAAAACAACAAACCACCCTAAGCTTGCTTTCCCACATTAGTATTTTAGTATTTTAACATTTTAAAACTACAGCTACATTCATATCTTTGCCCACGATTAAAAAAGAAGTGGAAATGTTCACCATGTGGAGAGTCCATGACTATGAACAATTCTAGGTCACCCTTTGATCAATTTGCTCACAAGCTTTCGTTCCCAAAGAAAGCATTTTTCACATAGATTAGCAACACTACTCAGTGCAAACACAGTCATACCTACTACTCTACTAGTAACAAAATGAAAATGAACATCAAAACCTGCTTACAGATCTGCACAGTCCAGTTTCTTTGCAATGCACTGATTTCCAGTCACAAGAACATATCTACAGCTTTTTTTTTTTTTTGTAAGTATACTGTTTTCAGCAGTTATCTAGCTTGCTACTAGATCATACTACTTTCTCAAAGTTACTTTCTTCTTAACTTATACACACTCAATTAATTGTTGACTTCAAAGCTGATCCAGGAAAAGCAACAACTCTACCTCTCCCTTCAATTAAATAGTTAACACTAGAGTTCATAAGGGTTATCATCATTGTAAACTATTAAGGTTATGATATCCATAATTCATTACTTAAGGATCATAAAGTAAACCAATGGAAATTTTAACCTAGTCATAGATTCTATTATTGCTAAATGGAAGATTCATATAAACTAGTGTTTTATAGAACCAGCAATTCTCAAGTCACTCAAAAAAAAAAAAAAAAAAAAATGACTACTTTAATCGGGGTAGCTGAACTCTGCTGCAAGTCAGCTAGTTAGAAACATTTATCTGGGTATTAAGAAATGGAAATGACAAATGATCTGGTTCAGGTGAAAGCCTCCTACTGGCTACATCTTTTTATAGTGTGCCCTGGGCCCAAACATGCCTCATGAAAAAGCAGGATTCTAACCCAGTACATTAATGCATCAATGATTTTAATATCAATCACTAATGCCAAAGTACTTACTATTCAGTTGTTGCCACAACAGTTCCTTCTCCTTCACCTCCACTCCCATGTTCCTCCTCCAACCCCAAAAAAATATTAGCACAAAACCAAAAGAATATAAATATTTGAGGAGGAAACACAACACTCAGGTTGCAAGAAATTAAATACTTGAGAAGCATATGTCTTTCTTTTCATGGCATGCATGAAAAGGAACCATACACCAAAAACTGGATCAACAAAGACAGCAGTTCTGTTGAAAAATAACTCTTGTATGCTGTTAGACAACTCAGGCTAGCGTTGTGCGTACCATCCACATCTGAAAACAAAACCTCTGCTTTTCTTCGGACAACTTAAAACATTAAATATTTTAAATGGATCTCTTTCAACTCCAAGTTGTATTTACATAGTTATTCAAAAATGTGCAAAGTAGAATGTGACATCAAAATAAATTTCAAAGTCCAACAAATTGAACTTGACATTAAAAAAGGCAGCAGAGATTCCATGTCCATTTTACACTTTAAAGAACTACTTAAGACAGTGAAAAGGTTGTTCGAGCTGAACTCTGGAAATTTAACAAATCCAAACCATGATTCACTTCAATCACTAGCTGTCTTTGCCACAGAATTCACAAAGTATCCCACCAGTGAGGTCTTTGACAACTTTTTCTTTGATCAGTTTTTGCAGGAATTTTGTTTCGCTTGTCACATTGTGCATAGTTTGTCCATTCATGGCAGCCATGCAGAGGTTGTTGTAATAGTGCAAAGGTGTGCTGGGCTGATCGAGGTCATATCCAAATCCTGCTAAGCTCACTTCATCACATAAATGTGTGGCCAGAACAACAGCTGTGACCCCAATTGTAGGTACATTCTAAAAAGAGGGGAAAAAATGAAGCCTGCTGAATTCAAACATATTCTTCTTTGCCAGTTTTTACAAACACTTTACAAAATTCAATGGCTCCTCAGTTAAAACTGAAATAAATTAAACAATTAAGACTAAAATCACATACAATTAAAAATCAATTAAATGATCAAGTAAAACTAAAAACTTCAGGGCCATATACTAATACAACTTGAGTATTTGCCTTTAAGACTTTTGGTTGTCAACACAATTTTTTTTCTGTGAAAGCAAGATGCCCTATTACTAGGTAGTTAATCTACAAGTCAACTCTTGCTCCACTCAAACAACTCCTGACATGCAGTTACACCTGACACTTCTTGATCTACACTTACTTCTGTCTTGAGCAAGAGGCTCTCTTAACAGTACTCTTCAGAATATGACTTTTCACTGAACAACCTGTGAAGAAGGCAAATATACTACGATACAACCAAAAGATATATAGCTTGGTACGTTACATTACTTTGATAAATAAATGTGAGAAGATCCTTCAAACATTTGTGCAATAACGCTACCATTAAACGCTTTCACACAAAAGATGGTTATTCAGTACTTTTCATAGTTAAAGAGAACTAGTGATATCCTATTTCTCAAACAAATGATTTAAATAACAAATGGGCAGTGTCTACCTAAACTGAGCAATTCACCACTCCATGCTATTGCTGGAGCAAAGGACAGAGAGAGGATATACCCTTCAGCTGCTATTGAGCACACTGGCATGCACAGCAATTCCAACAGTTGGAAGGTTGGTTACACTGGCCTGGTTTCCACACTCTCCGCTTTCCCTGCGGTCAGAGACACATCTGCCTGTAGCTGATTGCTGGTTTGACTTAACAGGGCTGCTCTTAACACACTTAACATACATGTTTTGAATATTTAACACCAGTCACAACAACATGTCAGTGAACACACTGTACTGGAATAAACTGATGTCTGACTGCATCCGAATGCTTTGTAAAACAGGCCACGTCATGTCAGCATGCAAAGGCATAATAAATACCTCATCTAAAAAGGTGAACTGAAATCCTACTTTGATTTTAGACAAGAAAATACCAGAGTCTTTTGAGAGTACATTAATTTCCCTATTACTTGAGACCAGCTTGAAACTGCACAGAGAAACTATATTAAAGGAAGAGCCCAAAACTTGTTTCAGTTTCTTGTTTCTTATTTTACTTTGTATTTTATAGTCTCCTTCTCCCAAAAGGAAACGTCTTACCTTATCCCAACCCCAGAATTTTGATCGAGGTTCAGGGAACTGTAAAATGTCCAAAGCTGTCTCTTTAATGACAACTGGATTCAGAATCCGAAACTGCTTTGATGTAAAAGGAATTTTCTCAGCAACCTCCTTCCAAAAGAAGAGTCGCACCCACAGAGGCTAAGAAGAAGAAAAAAAAAAAGTTCAGCAAAGGGAAATTCCAAGATTGCAAAGTGTATGGTGGATACAGTATACAAATTATAGAATTCATGAGTGATTCTGAGCAAGTCAGGAAATAGTTTATAGCTAAGGTGGTTCAGGAATAGCAGTGCACAGTTCAAGCAACTGACCCAAAAGAGGAAAAACTTTCTAAGTATTTGGAATCTCAGGGAGGACAGCAGAGGGAAAAGTTGTTTATTCTGAATATTTGACTGCACTCTATTTAATCCATCAACATATCCACCAAAACCTCCAGGTTCTTTGGACCCTCCCCAGCACAACTGAGCAGGAAGCAACATTTAAAGCAACGGGGAAAGGAAACCACAGTTTTCCATGAACATTAACCAGGCATTCTGAAGCAAGCAGTGGATTTAAAACAATTTTGCTCAGGCTTTGAAGTGAACAGCTGTTGTTTCACAGCATCCACCTCGTGATAAATGTAACACTTCACACAAGGATTTACACAAGACTCAGCCAGCTAGGTTCTGATCTCGCACCACTTGCAGTCAATTAGATGCATGCTAATGGAAAAAAACAATACTACATCAGGCTCATTTTACAAGTCTTTCCATATAATGGGTAACACTAAACAAATGATAAAACTGACACAGCTGCAACACAGACCTATATTTTTTAAACAGGCTTTAAGGTAGAACTCTACAGCAACTTAAATGGATCAGATCTAGGTTGCTATGGTTCCATCTTCCCACCTGTGCTCTGAATCAGTTTACTGAAGTGCCAATGCCTGCACAGAGAGCTGATCCAACTGAAAGCCTAGTATTGAAAAGGAGAAGTATGTTTTCAGTTCACAGAATCACAGAGGGGCTGAGGTTGGAAGGCACCTCTGGAGGTCAAGTGATCCAACAACGCTGCTCAAGCAGGGCCACCCAGAAACAGTTGCCCAGGACTGTGCCTAGATGGCTTCTAAACGTCTCCAAGGATGGAGACTCCACAATCTCCCTAGGCAACCTGTGCCAGTGCTCAGTCACTCTCACAATCTAAAAGCGTTTCCTGACATTCAGATGGACCCTCTTGTGTTCCAGTTTGTGCCCATTGACCCTGATCCTGTCACTGGACACCACTGAAGAGAACCCAGCTCCATTCTCTTTGTAACCTCCCCTCAGGTATTTATGTTCTGGAGCAATGGGCTGAGCCCAGCTGTGTGAGTTTCACTGAGGGCAAATGCTGGGGGCTGCCCTTGGGCCACAACCCCCAGCAGCACTACAGGCTTGGGGAGGAGTGGCTGGAGAGCTGCCAGTCAGAGAGGGACCTGGAGGGTGATTGACAGCCAGCTGAATGGGAGCCAGCAGTGTGCCCAGGGGGCCAAGAAGGCCAATGGCATCCTGGCTTGTGTCAGCACTAGCGTGGCCAGCAGCGACAGGGAAGGGATCTGACCCTGGGCTCGGCACTGGTGAGGCCGCACCTCAATTCCTGTGTTCAGTTTTGGGCCCCTCACTACAAAAAGGACATTGAATGACTCGAGCGTGGCCAGAGAAGGGCAACGGAGCTGGGGCAGGGTCTGGAGCACAGGTCTGCTGGGGAGCGGCTGAGGGAACTGGGGGGGTTTAGTCTGGAGAATAGGATGCTGAGGGGAGACCTCATCACCCTCTACAGCTCCCTGGAAGGAGGGTGCAGAGAGGGGGGGATGAGTCTCTTTAACCAAGTAACAAGCGACAGGACAAGAGGGAATGGCCTCAAGTTGCGCCAGGGAAGCTTTAGACTGGATATTAGGAAGCATTTCTTTCCAGAAGGGGTTGTTGGGCATTGGAATGGGCTGCCCAGGGAGGTGGTGGAGTCCCCATCCCTGGAGGGGTTTAAGAGTCGGGTTGACCCAGCACTGAGGGATCTGGTGGAGTTGGGAACTATCAATGTTGGGTTGATGGTTGGACTGGATGATCTTCAAGGTATTTTCCAACCTAGACAATTCTGTGATTCTTTAATAAGTTGTGCCCCTAATCATTCTCTTCTCTAGGCTAAGCAGTCCCATCTCTCTCAGCCTTTCTTCATAGGAGAGGTGCTCCAGTCCCTTGTCTTTGGTGGACACTCTCCAGTATGCCCATTCCCAGATCAGTTCCCAAAACTGTCTCTCTTCACCAGCAAAAACAGAAGGGGAGGACAAGCAGATCTGCTCCTAAGCCAAACACAACACGAGGTACCCTTTTCATAAAGCATATACTTCAGTCTTGTAACTCACTGTAGAGAATGTTGCAGATGCCAAAAACCAAACACTCTTTCAATCTCCCTCCCAACAAATTTTAATACAGAAAGCTCTCCTTGTACTAATCATTCTTCAAAACCAAACTGTAAAACATGAAATAGCCAGACAGCTTGTAAAACAAGTAAGTTAGGGATTCAACTGAAGCTAGAAAGCTGCTGCTCATCAAAATTAGCACACTGCTGGAGGGAAGGTAATAGACCAACACTGTCTTGCCCCTGGTAAGAAAAAAATAAAGGAGCAGAAGTTCTTAAATTTGCACAAGTCTATGCGTTCAGAAAAGTATCCCCTCTACAAAACATACTCAGATTACTCAAAACAAGGCAATATCCCTACACACACATTCTCTGGACTAAAGTAGTAGTAGGCAACAGTAATGGTCAATATTAAACAGATCTTCCATCTGCTCTCATGTTGTAAAAATCACAGAATTAAGAAAGAAACTTGGAGTACCTAAACTAGTATCTATCAGACTGTTAAAAAAAACCCCAAACCTTAACAGGCTTTCTTCTAAATCTCAGTAATTTAGAGCACTTGTTTTCAGTCTGTGATCAGAAATACCTAGCTACTGGTTTTCAACTTGCAGAAATCATCTGCCTGCAAATTGAAAGAGGTGAAAACCACCAATTTAAAAGAGCTTGGGAAGATTAAACCCTTCTAGCAGTTCCTTAGGAATCTCTGCATTTCTTGAAATATTTGGTGAGAAATAAATAACATCTTAATCTTAGAACCACAAATGAACTAACAACCACGATGCTTCAATTAGAGATTAACTTCATGTATGCCTATTGTAGCAGCACAGACTTTGGCTGTTAAAAAGATGGACTGACATCCAGAAATCTCATTTCTATTTCAGGCTCTGCAGACTTGAACAAGTTACTTAAACCTAGCGTGAAATGAATTCCACTTTAATAAACCTTCAGTGTCATGTAGCTTGGTGCAAACCACCAATATCTGCAGAAAAAGAAGAAGTGTTACTGTCAGCACGGGGCTTCAACATGAATGCTGGTACCAACTGTAACTAGGAGACAGAGCTAAAAAAAACCCCACAAAGTTACATAAAAGATCCTTGATATAATAAAACAGTAAGTAATGGATTAGTCAGCTTCTTAAGCATAAAAAAACCCCACAAAACACAGGTGCATAACACTGTCACATTACATACCAAGGTTTCATTTTTTATCATTGCTTGAAGCCAGTTGAAATCAACACTTTTAAACAAAACAGCTACAAACAAGCTAGCAGGAGGATACTCATGTTCAGAAAGCGGGGCTCCTTCTGGGTAAGTCATCCGTATAGTAGTTTTGTTACCAACGTGATCTGCGTATCCTTGAACTGGTGCATCATTTAACCTTAAAAAAAAACAAACCACCAAATCATCACAATGGAGAGAAACTGTATTTAATAAGCATGTGTTATGCATATTATACAATCTCATTAAAACATTAGATGCTAAGCAAAGAACTTGTATTTGGCCCACAGACTTTTAACAAAGCTGAGTACAACATTTTCTCAGTATCTCCATGTTCTTCACCTCACACATTCATCCGTCCCTTATCTTTGAGAGGAAGCCAATTCTACTCCTAGATTAACTGGCACGGGTGCAAAACTTCAAAAAGAAAAGCTTGAATAGAAAAGTAGCTTAAAACAGCATGGCAGAATTTCATATTCACTGCCTTGTGCCTCAGAGAGGCTTAATAGAAGAGAAAGAAAACACAAAGGAAGTTGCCTCTTTATCTATGTGCACACCCCCCACACGAGTATTACACACAGAAAGGCATTAAAATTATCTCTTTAATGCAATGTAATGCATCCTGTGAGTTTACATCATTCTAGTTCACCCAAAATTTCAGATGCTAGCACACTGCTGACAAGAACAGCATCACCCAACCCTTCTCAGTTCTGCAAAACAGTGTTAAGTCCCATAAACTCTTCCGTATCAACTGAAAAATCACCTTTAAGCTGACATCCCAAATTTCAGAGAACAGTTAATGCAAATTCTCTTCCTCTCCAAATACCAACACGTTTCTTTACCTTTATATAAGAGCTATTGACTCACTGAATCAAGGTTGGTTTTTTTTTGTTGTTTTGTTTTGTGGTTTTTTTTTTTTTTAAGAGAAGCAAGTCTCAGTTTACAAAGCAACCTGGGAAAATGTTTGTATTAAATTTACATGATTCACAACACAAAGAAGGAGAGCTAAAATAGTAATGTTCGGAAGGCACGAATACAGAGCATGTATTCATTTAATTCAGACATTAGAAAGTATGGGTAATCACAGAAAGCATGCACCGGTCTTGTAAAGATAAGGAAAGATAAGCATGCTATACACTGTGTATGCAAACTGTAAACTGAAACACCAATTAAATTTTATTATGTTTGAAGTTGCTGTTATAAAAAAACCACTTCAAACAAGCATCCCAACTAACCAAGTAGAAAAAGGCAGAGATGAGTACTAAAGCCTACCTCCGAAAGCTTAAACATATTAATGTATAAAACCAGGATTGTCTACTTGTCTGATTTCACAGGTTTCAATCTCATTTCTGCCCATGTTTTTTGTGCCTGAAGTCAACTAATAATTATATTGAATTCCTGTCTTGTGAGCATGACAATTTATTTTGCTCCCAAGATTTCAAATTCTATCAAGTCACAAGTACACTTCTCAACAGCACTTTTAGAAAGTCTCATAAGTTGCATAAATATTGGTGATGCCTTCCCCTTAAAAAATAAAGCAGGCTCAAAGTTGATGTAGTTGGAATCCTTAAATGGTAAATATGTACCTTATAACAATATCAAACCGATTCAGTAAGTGACCCAGCTCTGATCCATGAAGAATTCCGCCACTGCCAACAACAACACAACGCTTACAGTGTTTTGACTTCAAATCTTCTGGTAAATCATGCTCAGGTAAGAGTTCAAGGAGATTTTTAAGCTTATCAAAGAACTTGTGAAATCCAAAAGGAGGTTCATATTTAAATAAAGCTTCATCTTCATTTATATTTTTTCTCACAAAGGGAGATATGTCCATGCTATATTTCTCCACAAATAACTTCCTCATTTCTTTCTTCACATAAGAAGGTCGGCACTGTTCCTCCAATGCAGCACTGGCATACTGTTGTGCTCTCTAAAACAAAACACGATGTCAGTTGGCAAAGCCAGCTTCAGGAACATACGAAGACCTCTCAATGCAACCTACCAGCTGACCACCAGCAATTTAGCAAACACAGGGGTTTATAAAGAAAGCTTAAACATGGAAATACAAGATATTTTAAAGCATTCACTCAAACACAAATACTAACCAGTGCATGGTGAAAACCTGCAAAGGAATGCCTCTCTACCTAATCACTTAAATCTGGATAGGAGGTTTTCTAAAAAAATCATAGAAAACCAGGTAGAAAGGGACCTCAAGGATCATCTGATCCCACTTTTCTTGGCAAAAGCTCAGTCTAGACAAAATGGCCCAGCTCCCTGTCCAGCTGAATCTTAAAAGTGTCCAATGTTGAGGATTCCACCACTTCCCTGGGGAGATTATTCCAATTGCTGATTGTTCTCTTTGTGAGCAAATTAGGCTAGTAAAAGTGATAAGTTAAAATGAGCAGTTTGAGAACATTTGTACTGTTATTTACAAAAACTGATTAAAAAAAAAATCTAGATGTACTTCTACCCATCTAATTCAGCAGCAAACAAAATCTTACTCCACTGCTCAATTTGTGTCACCTGAGTTCTGTCTGCAGCAGGATTTTACCAGAGACACATTCACTGGGTAAAAGTTCTGTGAAATGCCAGGCTGGACTTGCTTATTAATCAAACTGAAGCAACACTTCTTCTGTAAGTATTGCTAAAGTGGTATTGCTAACGACTAAACCACAACTTTAGAAGGAATGCAGGGCAGGAATGTTTCAGTAGTTATTTCAAAGACTAATCACCAAAATAAAAACTACCATTCCATACTGCATAAAAAGATTAAGCTGTCAGATAAAACTACACACTGATGCATGCAGCTCATTAAAAAAAGAAAAAACCAAACTATTCATGTACATTTTTTAGAAATCTGTAGTGGCAATCCAGTATCTGATGTAAGAAGAAAAATAGCAAAGGTATTATTTTTATCATTTAAAATAAAATCTTTTTGCATATTCTCTTCTCCAATACAACTCTGCTGATCTTTCCTCCACTGTAATTAAAAAAAAACAAGAGCAAACACAGTGGTCAGATAGTCAAGATTCAAATCTAACTCAGTTCTCCTTTTGTACATTAAGGAAAGTGGTATGTGGGTGCACAAGAATGGAAGTTGTGTTGGCCTTCCCCCCCCCCCGTTACAAAGATCTCTGCAAGTTTGGGTGTAAACACCACACTTCGTCCTGGGCAAAGCATAACTGAGCAACTTCATGCTGTACTTTGCAAGAAGAGTCAATGCATCTTTGGAAGAGCCTCATTTTTAAGGCTGACAGTTGTGCATGCTACCAGTAAAAAATGATGCCAATCACTTGACAACTGCCCCAAATGGTTTGCAACCAGCTACTACCTAACTAGACAAAGAGCAATGCTATTTTAAATCTTGCATCTAACACAAACAAAATGAATCACGAGACAGCAATAAACACAGCCCATGCAGTCTTTTAGGTTTGCCTGGCTTAAGGCATTTGTTGTCTCAAAGTAAGACTATGTTACTGAGAAAAAGTCAAATGAGAACAAAGGTGGAGGCAACAGAGGCTAAGAAGGGGAAAAACATGCACCAAAGAAGGTGGGAGGTGGGGGAGGATGCACATACAGTAGTGTTAAGATGAGACTATCTTAAATCCGGGCTTTTGCTCTAAGTTGTGTCCCAGCGTTGAGACATTCAAAGACAGAAACATAACTCTAAGCCAAGGTAAGTACTGCTATAAAGAGTGCACAGCCTAAGTAGCAAAAGGTAGAGAAGTGTCATCAGAAATTAAGAGAAAGCTTTATTAGCACCTTAAAAGCCATGTGCAAAACTGTACTTGAAGTAGCTGCTACCTTAAACAAATACATGAACCAAGAGCAGCACTCCTGCACATTTGCCTTGTAACTCCAAAACCATTTCAGCAACTACAAGGCAAAGCAGGCTGGGGAACTGGCTTAGGTAATAATAAACCTTTGGTTTAATGGGTTGGGCTTGGGGCTTTTTTTAATGTTACTTTTTAGTTGCATCAGTTTTCTGATCATCTGTGCCATATGCACTGACACAACAGAATGATGACATGTCCATTTCAAATGTTACAATATTCACTGTCTCTTACAACAGACAACAGTCACAGCTATCTCATTTCATCCCTAAAAATCCAGTTTTTCTACGCATGTCTGTTGTTACTCCACAGGAACAAAACCTAGAAGTTCTACAGCATGAAACAAAGCAATATATATTTTCCTTCACAGGACAACTTCAGCATTCTAGTTCTTTGTTAGAGATCCTTATAACCCTTAGATTGTCAGTTAACTTTTTTTTAGGCCAAGGAAAAAAAAACAAAAAATACCAACCCTTACACGATCGAGATCCACATATGGCGTTTTTGTTCTGTCACATTCTCCAGGGCCAAAATGCAATTTGAGGATATAAAAGAAGCACCCTGCAACCACAAACAGTGCAAAACATCTAAAAACAAACAGGAGGGTGTAGGGGTAGGAGAGAGGAGAAAAAAAAAAATAAAAATCTTTTTTTCCAGCAATCCATCAACTGTTAAATGAGTATTTTTAAACAAATTTGAGCGAGTTGAAGAATTTCAGGTGAATACTTGCATTTGATTCAAACCAAGAAAAACTATAGCTTTGTTCACTGCAAGTCTTTCACAACTCTTCAGAGCTATCTGCAGGGAAGTACAAACATACATAGATGCTTTGATAAAGAAAGTGCTTTATATTGACACTGATATATGCAGTTCCATGCCTGCATCATATACTTCAAATGCATCTCATGGGTCAAACAGCTTTCCTTGCATAAAAAAAAAAAAAAAAAAAATCAAGAGTGACTTTTGTTTTCCTACTTCAAAGGACTACTCTATATTGAAATATGTATTTTCATGCAAGTTATATATTTAAAAAAGGATGGAACATAAAATTGCAAGATTTGGGGCGAATAGCCACCACTCACAAACTAAACTTTCAACTCACTCGCAGGCCAGAATGCTCAGGTGTATATTAAGAAGCCTAATTTAGTTATTTACACCCCCAAAACATGTGGGAGGAAAAACCCTACTAACTTTAAACTGAGTAATACAGACTATACATATTTTTTTATCAACTCATTTCTCATTCTTAAGGAATCTCACTGTTGATCTCTAAATATTCGCTTGTCTCATTTCATGTATAGATTGGTCTGCAAAAACTACATCATTATTTGGTTAGAGTTGTGGTTGTTGCTAAAGTATGTAGCTGAGCTTTATTATTGACCTTCATTTCTTACGGTTTCCTAAGGACTGAACATTTGTTCAAATGTCTTAAAAAAAAAAAAATATATACAACTACTAAGCATTCAGTGCTTCTTGAAATTCTTTCAGATTAAGTTAATACAGGTTTCTATTAAAAAAAAAAAGCTCGCACCCTACAGACTAATAGATGCAATCTTGGCACTTAATTTTCAATATATGTTGCAAACAAGGTGACCACTGGAAGAACAGCACTGTTCTCACATCTGATTTAACTAAATTCAATTTTGCATTGATAGGAGGTTATTAACATGTTAGGCTGCAACCCTTGGAAATCAGCTGACTGGCAGAAAACAGGGGATTCACAGCAGATGAATGAGGCTGGTTTATCAAGTAACTATAGATTTAGCTGGAGCTGCACCATTCAGGTGCTCAAAACACTAGTGGATATAAGTTTGTCTTTGTGTTTTTTAAGCTTTAAAACCTAAAAATTCATGTGCAGAGAAGTATCACAGTAGTTAACCTTTTTGGTTTAAAATATGGTGCTGGATATACACTAGCACACATTCATTAATTCTGATGCGATGGATGTCAAATTATAAACAATGGAGTAAGACTTTGTGATATACATTCCAAAAGTCTTCATACACAAATTAACTATGAGGGGACACCTCCCCAAAACACCCACTAACCATCCACTGCCCTTTGATTTCTGCAATTATCAGACTGTACAAAAGCCTTGACATTGTTATTTACCTGGATACAAAAAAGATTGACAATAACTCGTAAGCAATGTACTGGGATCTCACATTGGCTTGGGAAAATGGGTACTACTGTGAAAGCCTAGGATCCTCACAGGTGTTTTAGGTGCCCCAGGATAAGTGGGGTGCCTAACCCTCCATTCAATTCCTGTGGCAATCTCATCCCCTCGATTTTTGCATCATTTTGTAACTGCCCAGGCTAGGAAGAGAGCAACTGGCCTCTATGTTGCTGTGACAATGACACTTACTTGCGAGTACCTTTTAAAAACCAGCTTGGTCTTCTCATCTTCACGTGCAGGCACCTTACACCATTGCACAGGAGGTGAACAATCACTTTTCAGCTTCACAGAGTTATTGTCACTCAGCATTGCTGTAAAAAAGGAAGAATAAAAATTATTTAAACTTTTGCTGGATTGAGAAAAAGTTCATAGGACATCCAATAACTGTTAACTTACTCTGTTTCTCAAAGAAGTTTGTTAATTCTTGGTTATCATGTCAGGAATACTGAATTGGTCCTAACCTCCTTGTGATTAAGAACATACTAATTTCAGATGCACTGCCAGAAGATGATTCTAAAAATATGTACACTCTGCCAGGTATAGGTCTTTGCATTCTTCATAAGTCTGAAGTCAATTGCAATCACATCAATTACTGTCAAACACTATTGTTTGATCTTGGTCAAACACCACTTTGTTTGAGCAGTTATTAGACTCCAGACAGGAAAAAGAAAAAATTAAGATCTACACAGTATTCTCAGGGTATTTAGATTCCCTGAATCAAAATATCCAAGTACTACACTACCCTGCAGGCTTCAAGCATGCTCCCAGCATGCAGAACCTGTACAAACCATCCCATCCTCAAAACTGGAGCCCAAATTTCAAATCAACTCCCTGATATCCCCAAGGTTAAGCAAACCTGTCTCATCATCAGTCTGAATCTACTGCTGACCTCTTCAGAAGCGCCAACAATGTGGTCAGCAACTTCAAGAGCAAGCACCGAAGAGAGTGTGTAGCAAATTTTGCCTGGCATGCAGCAGGACCAGGAGGCTGCCAGCACAAGGGGAGTTTCTGTGCACAGCAGCAGCTCCCCTCCAACAAACACTGTGAACGCAGCAGGAGTGCAGTGTTCCCTCGCAGATGGGCAAGTTGCTGATCATTAGCTAACAAGAAGCAATCTCACTGCTATTGTGTGTAGGCTCCTGCAAATTTCTATCAGTGTGGTTCAATTCCGATTTTGGAAAGAAAACTGGAGGCTGGCACATCAACTTCTCACAGGCTGCTGCCATTAACCAAAGATGTGAGCGAACAAGGAAACACCATGCAAAGCCCACCCATACAAGCCTGCTGGTTTTGCCCTAAAAGGAGAAGGGATCCAGGCAATGGCTTTTCCTGCCCTACCAACCTCTCGAAGCAGCACCCCCTTTGATCAGCCAACCATGGAAGGATACAGCCTGATCCTCCAGAGTGGAGGACTTCAGCCCTACTTGTTCCCTTTGATCTCAGTGCTTAACCCCCTCTCTTAACCTCCCCTTTGCTCTCCACTGCAAAGATGTTCACACTCTTCTGTTCTCTTGCCAAGGGCTCTGTCACAAGAACTTTTAAAAAAAAAGTAAGGCTAAGGGAAGGCTTTTATCTAAGGATGATCTTCCAAAACTCTCTTTTCCACTCCACCGCCTTTCATTTTATATGGTGATATGACCCATTTGAACTAGCCTGTATTGCCACTTCAAAACATTTGGACAAACAACTAATTCTTAAACACCAGGACGAAGGAGCTGTGGAACACGAAGAAGTGTTCCCTCCAAATTTCAAATCCAGCCCACTGAAGTTTCAGTGATATCTAATTCAGAAGATGACTCAAAAATCAGTGTCTTTGCACAGCCATTCGTCATTTCCCAGTAACAAACTTGATATACATGGTAGAAGGTCAAAAGCCACAAATCACTGTGAGACAAGGAGAGAAAAAGATCAACACCATAATCTTAAATCACAGAATCACCTAGGTTGGAAAGGACCCTGGAGATCATCTAGTCCAACCGTTCTCCTAGCACAGTTCCCACCTACAGCAGATCCTTAAGCTCCAAATCAACCCTACTCCTGAACACCTCCAGGGATGGGGACTCCACCACCTCCCTGGGCAGCCCATTCCAACGCCCAACAACACCTTCTGCAAAGAAATGCTTCCTAATACCCAGTCTAAAGCTTCCCTGGTGCAACTTGAGGCCATTCCCTCTTGTCCTGTTGCTTTCTACTAGGCTAAAGAGGCTCAAATCCAGCTCTCTGCAGCTTTCTTTCAGGGAGCTGTAGAGAGAGATGAGGTCTCCCCTCAGCCTCCTCTTCTCCAGACTAAACCCCTCCAGTTCCCCCAGCCGCTCCCCAGCAGACTTGTGCTCCAGACCCTGCCCCAGCTCCGTTGCCCTTCTCTGGCCACGCTCGAGTCATTCAATGGCCTTTTTGTAGTGAGGGGCCCAAAACTGAACACAGGAATCAAGGTGCGGCCTCACCAGCACCAAGATCACTTCCCTGTCCCTGCTGGCCACACTAATCCTGATGCAAGCCAGGATGCCATTGGCCTTCTTGGTCACCTGAGCACACTGCTGGCTCATATTCAGCTGGCTGTCAATCAGTACCCCAGGTCCCTCTGAACGCTCTGAATACTCTGAAGAGCAGACAAGAGTTCAGCGATGCTTTCCATAGTCACCTGCAAGTGATCATAACCCACAAAACAGAGCAAGGAAAAAAAACCCACAATGTTTTTTGCCAGCAGAAAACTTCACTACTTACCTCAAACATAAGTAACCGCTATTATGATACTACCAAGATCCTCAAATTACCCACCTAGCTGTATTTATTAACTGCACAGGCTCTCTAAGCTGTCACACCCATTTGTAGGCCTTTGTCACAAAGCAGCAATACCTTAAACACCTTTTAGCAGATCTGAAAGCACTGTACAAACTGAGGTCAGTGCCTCATTGCCCACTTTCCTTGGAACAGGGTAAACCGAAACCTGAGGGGTGACACCCCAAGGTCCCCCGGAATGCTATCACTTAAGCTGGAAATCAAACTCAGCTCAAGTTTCTCACACAACGTGTCAGGACACAAGACAGCTGGTCACAGGGAACCTATCATCATTTTCTCAGAGCAACACCCCGTCTTTACTGGCTGCATCTATACCACTCAATAAAAGCAGCAATGAGGAACAAAACTGGGTGTTGTCACCACCACCCCTGTCATCCCCATTACAAGTCCATTTTGCTCTCAGATAAGATTTAGAGCAAATCCACCAAGCCCACCTGGGCAAAGGTCTAGTGTGAATCAGCAAAGTTTGTTACAAGGACCATACCCTAGTGCCAGTTATGGACCACCACAATGAACTGTTCTACCTTCATATGTCCAGTGACATTCCAGCAGGACTCGCACAATGGAAAATAAGGAGGTGATTGGTGACAGCCAACACAGCTTCAATAAGGGCAAAATGCACCTGACAAATTTGGTGGCCTTCTAAACATGGTTACAGAGCTGGTGGATGTCATGGTTTGAGCTGAGAAGGCAACTGAGCACCACGCAGCTGCTTACTCCCCCCCCCCCCC